AGATCCGAATGATCCTAATTTATCACTGGAGAACTTAAGATTTCCTAAGTTCAACTCATAATATTGTTTTGAAGATCACTAAACTTAATTGTTAAGATACACCGTATATTATTTTAACTAATAATTTATATAAAAAATAAAAATAATAATTATATATTTAATTTAAATAAACAATTTAACAAAAATAATTTAAATAAAAAATAGACAGATATCACGAAAAAGAAATGAAGTAATAGACATATAAAAAAATAGAATAAAAGTGACCACATTTTATTTGTTATAAATTAAATAATAAAAAGTTACATAAATAAAAGATTATCGTATTAACAACTCAATTAACAACTTTGTACTGCTAATTAATTCGTTTAATAATTGATTATTAAAATCGATCAAAGAGCGTTTTTGAAATGTTGAAAGAAGCTTTATTAAGATATGAAACGAGGACAAATCGAAGTAGAAAAAAATAACAGGAAGGAGAAATTAAAATAAAGATTTAAATTTAATTTGAAGAATAGGTTATGTGATAATTGTTGTAGAACATGGAGGTAACTAAGATATTTGACAGAACAATTTTAACCCTGAATTTAGAACCCTTATCATGTAAACATTTTTTGTATTATCTTTTAGATCTTTATATTATTTTGGAATGAAAATACTGTCTTTAAGGTGTGATATTTTACCTTTAGAGATACCAATAAAAGTACGTGTGAAAAAAATTATCCTATTGTTTCGTTACCAATAATGACATAGTAGTAAGAGGAATGAAATCAAATAATATATTAAAAACATCAAGAACCGAGTGAACAAGTATAATAACCGTTAGATTTTTTATCCTTTAAGAATATTTTTAGTTTTATAATCTTTATGTTTATTTTTTTTGTCTTTCATTCTGCAATCTACTTATAAACAAGAGTAAATGAATATTTCAACTCATTATTATCGTGATAATTTTGTTTAGATTGAAAATGTAACAATCCAATATTAACATTTTTTTTCATTTAAAATTACCTCATTAATTTGTATAGACTTTTTACGTATTAAACCGAGGAGGAATAATGAAAAATTTGGATAATTTACTCAAAAGAATAATTTTTTAATGTAATAAAACTATTGTAAATAAATAGTTATAGCAATCTAATTTGTTATATTATGAATGTTAGATGGGTAAAAAAAAGTGATAATAATATTACATTGTAAAATGATAAAAGTTGGAAGATATAACGAATAATACAATTAATTAATTTGAGTAAATAGAAATGAAATAAATATTTGTTTAATTTATTAGAAGTGTTTAATTCTTTTAAATATTAAATTTTGAAAAATATATTTCCCAAATATTTGCTGAAGTGAATTTATGGCAAACAGCTCAAATAAAAAAAAAGTTAAAATATTATTATCTATTTTAATTAAAAAAAAGCATCACCTTAAGGAAGGATTCCAAATACTTGGTGCGAATGCAAAGGCAGAATAGAGTAATTCCAAACGGTGCCGTATATGAACCCTCAACCACAAGGGAAGGGCTTCAACACTAACATAACTCACATTGCTTCTGCTTCCTAATCTCTGCGCTCTGCTCTGAATCCAGTCTGGTAATTATTCCGATCTTTGTTATTACAATTTTAATGTTTTCTATACAATTTTTTTCAAGTAAAGTTTGATCGGGTTTTGTATCTCTCGCGAATCGGTGTGTAGGAACTTCCGAAGTTTTAAGCTGCCTAGAATCACGTTTTTGCATAACCCCATGGGATTTTCAGTTATAGCGCCATTTCTTGGAAAACCCCATGGGATTTGCGTACCACTTTTATGCTTTCTTCTTGCTATATGCACAATCTGAAATTGTTGAAATTTTTGGGAAATTTTATTGAGCTCTGATTTTAATGTGCCTTTNTTATTTTTTTTGTCTTTCATTCTGCAATCTACTTATAAACAAGAGTAAATGAATATTTCAACTCATTATTATCGTGATAATTTTGTTTAGATTGAAAATGTAACAATCCAATATTAACATTTTTTTTCATTTAAAATTACCTCATTAATTTGTATAGACTTTTTACGTATTAAACCGAGGAGGAATAATGAAAAATTTGGATAATTTACTCAAAAGAATAATTTTTTAATGTAATAAAACTATTGTAAATAAATAGTTATAGCAATCTAATTTGTTATATTATGAATGTTAGATGGGTAAAAAAAAGTGATAATAATATTACATTGTAAAATGATAAAAGTTGGAAGATATAACGAATAATACAATTAATTAATTTGAGTAAATAGAAATGAAATAAATATTTGTTTAATTTATTAGAAGTGTTTAATTCTTTTAAATATTAAATTTTGAAAAATATATTTCCCAAATATTTGCTGAAGTGAATTTATGGCAAACAGCTCAAATAAAAAAAAGTTAAAATATTATTATCTATTTTAATTAAAAAAAAGCATCACCTTAAGGAAGGATTCCAAATACTTGGTGCGAATGCAAAGGCAGAATAGAGTAATTCCAAACGGTGCCGTATATGAACCCTCAACCACAAGGGAAGGGCTTCAACACTAACATAACTCACATTGCTTCTGCTTCCTAATCTCTGCGCTCTGCTCTGAATCCAGTCTGGTAATTATTCCGATCTTTGTTATTACAATTTTAATGTTTTCTATACAATTTTTTTCAAGTAAAGTTTGATCGGGTTTTGTATCTCTCGCGAATCGGTGTGTAGGAACTTCCGAAGTTTTAAGCTGCCTAGAATCACGTTTTTGCATAACCCCATGGGATTTTCAGTTATAGCGCCATTTCTTGGAAAACCCCATGGGATTTGCGTACCACTTTTATGCTTTCTTCTTGCTATATGCACAATCTGAAATTGTTGAAATTTTTGGGAAATTTTATTGAGCTCTGATTTTAATGTGCCTTTGTTTTTAATTAATTCAACGTCGACCTTATGATTTTTCGTTTTATGATTTTTTGTTTTATTTGCAGTGGAGAAGAAATACAACTAATTGCAATGGCTGCGCGTGTGGCTGCACGGTACGGATCTAGAAGGTTGTTTAGCAGTGGCTCTGGAAAAATACTCAGCGAGGAGGAGAAGGCGGCAGAAAATGCTTACTTTAAGGTAGGCTGGGCCTGTGCATTGTCTTAGTCAAGACTCGGGCTTTTTGTGTGAAGGGATATATGTAATCTGAGACTATTTCTACTCTATTTCTACAGGGTTAAGTTTTTGGTATTTGGGAAAGTTGCTCCGTAGCATCTGTGATGAGTTTTTATGCAAGCACAACATGATTCTGAAACATTATTAGAATTCATATTGAAACCAAATTTTGTAGAAAATTTGCTTTTAGCATGCTTTGCTATTAAAAAATATAATAGTCAGTTATGTTAGTACAGACAACTTTATGCATCATTTGAGTCATTATTTTCTAAAATGCATTGAAATTTTTTGTTTGTTTTACTAGTCTATTGAATTATTTGGATAGTCGTATCCAGTATGATGTTAAGATCATTCGAATTGTTTCAGGTTCTAACTTCTAACATAAGGAAACAATTACCTATTCATTTTTGTACTCTGCTAATATTCAATTGTAGTCTAATAGTTGTTCACAAAATATATTACTGTTCAACATCTTCGTCATGTTATTATTAAAAATATAATGGTATAGATCCATCTCTTTTGCCATATCAATCTTTTACCGTGGAGAAAGTTCCTATCACTGGTTTCTAGAGTTTCCTTACATAAGTGGAGGTTCATACATGTTGGTGTTCATTTGTTTTTCATTTTGCAGAAAGCTGAGCAAGATAAGTTGGAGAATCTTGCCCGCAAGGTATGTCTTAAATTATACCCTCTTAGTCTTTATGATTTATGTGCGATATTTGATGAACTTCTTGAGAGTATTTAATCATTGGATCAAACATTTTCCTGTGTTATATTTTCTGAATGTGGATGCTTAATGATTTTATTTGGTGGAAAATAGATGAATTAGACGTGAGTTACTTTTTTACACATTTCAAGGCTATTACACCCACCCAAAAAAGAAATACTAGAGCCAATCAACATATATGCCTCTGTTTTTTGTTTTATTTTTAAATTCAAATGCTAAGCTGTTATTTGTATAAAGCTGTGGAAACTTGTAATGGGGTGTACAACACATTTTATAAGAAAGAAAAGTTGTAATCCCTTTATTTGGAAATTTTAGTGTCTGTGGCAGGTTCAGCATAATTTGTTGGATCTTCATGAAGATTATTCTGTATGCACAGATCATGACTTTGAACATTATTTATACACCTTTTCTTTTTCAGCTAACTTTTGGGTTAGATAATTTTTTAAAGTTATATTAAAAACCCATTGCATATTTTATCCTCCTCATGGCTCTATCTTAAAGTTCAAATAACTACAATGTTGATATTACTTTATATCCTGTCATTTTTCTCTGTTTGTGACTCTGTTTCTGTAACGTTTTCAAGAATTTTTCTCCAGTTGCTTATGCATTTGTTTGTCTATCCGAAGTCTTACTTTGAAGTTAATGGTAACTGTATCCTCTCATTTAGGGTCCTCAACCAGAAGCAAGCTCAGGGGGTTCAGTAATTGATGCCAAACCAAGTGGCTCAGGACACACTGGAGCATCAGCTGAAAGAGTTTCAACTGACAAGCACCGGAACTATGCAGTTGTAGCTGGCACCATAACAATTCTTGGGGCTCTGGGATGGTACCTTAAGGGCACTGCAAAGAAGCCAGAAGTGCAGGATTGAACATTTCAGATGTTCATGTTCTCATTTTGGTATTGTTTGCAGCAAGTAGCACAAAATAAATGACCACACTACTAACTATGATTATTTTATTCTATCGCATTGCTATCACGAATTACTACTTTAATTTTTTGTTTTACATGTTACTTATACTTTCTCATGCTACCGAGCATGACGAGCATCAAATTTTCTCCAATAATGACTGGTAGTTTAAGTGCCATTCACTAGCAGCGGGTGAGAGATGGTGAGGAAAAAGGAGTGGAGATTGTATGAACTTAATGTCAAGAGTGAAGGATATTTGGAATAGCTATGGAAGAGTAAATGAACCTTCATCGTAGATATATTTTAAATTCATATCGATTTTGATAAAGAATTTCTATATTAACTCCCTGAGGATGAGATGGGTATTTACTTATTTCCTAGTTTTAAATAATTAAAACATTTTTAATTTATTAGATAATTATAAAAATTATATTAATTTTTTGATAGTTTATTTATATAATACACATTTAATCATTGTTATTTTTTATAATTATTTAATTTTTATGTTATTGTTATTTGATAATTTTATATGATATTTATATAATTATAATTTTTGTTTTCTATATTTAATGTTTGAGAAAAATAAATGTCTTTTTTTTTCATTGTCGTTTCTTTTCATGTTTCCTTGATTCTTTCGATCCTGAGCCCGTTGTCATGAAAATACACAAATTGAAAGCATTAATCGATAGAATAGATAGAAAATTATAATTGGTCTAGTAAAGAGAGATGTTGATCTCTTCTCTTACAATACTTAATGTTTGTTGTCTTCTTTTAGGTTTTGATGATGAACTCCTTTTATAGATGCTCATAGACTTATAATTTTTATACTAATATTAAGATTTATATCCTTAGTTATTTATCTTGGGTTTACTGGTTAATTTTTTAATTACATATTTATTCTTTAACTGTAATGAAATATTTTTATAATTATATGGTATATATATGTATATATATATTCTTATTTATTTGTTAATATGCATATTACTTTATTCTTAATTAATCTTATGTGATAAATCTTATTCTAAATATATATTTTCATTCATTACTATATTTATTTTAGGTTCGATTGACAAGATTTATCTTACGCCAGAGGTGAGGATCATATCCATCATCACATAACTTTCAAGCATAAGACTTAAAATTTTAAGCGGTAAGACTCCTCTAAAAGCAATTAAGTGGAGCTTATTATTATTGATATAATATCTAAGGTAATTAATATAAAACTTAACAAATGTAGAATATAAGGTGTTGTATAATTGAAATAAAAACTATAAGTTTACAGAAACACGTTTTGTACATGCAAAAATTAGTGACGTTTTTTACTTAACAAAATTTATACAAATCTACTTAAAAGAAATGTATAAAATTTATACAGATTATAAATATTGATATCTCCCTAATTTTCACTTATTTTCAATTTATCCTCATCCATCACTGACACTCGCACCAAGCCCACTAGAGAATCGCACGCAAATTGCGATGGGCAAGAAGGTAAAATGGAGCTGGAGTTCGGCGATAATCGGAGCAGCGTCGGCAGTGGCAGCCACCGCCCTAATCTCCGCCAAACCGAAGGACCCAACTTTCCACCTCATATCCATAAGCATGACTTCCCTCAAACTGAATCTACCTCTCCTGGACGCAGAGGTTCTCCTCACCGTCCACGTCACCAACCCCAACATTGCTCCCATCGACTACTCCTCCACCTCCATGTCCATCTTCTACGAGGGATCCCTCCTCGGCTCGGCTCAGGTCCAAGCTGGCTCCCAGCCACCCCGCTCCTGCCAGCTCCTCCGACTTCCCGCCCGTCTCCATGGGCTCCAGCTCGCGCACCACGCCAAGCGTTTCCTCCAAGACGTCGCGCGTCGCGAGATGGTCCTCGATGCTAGTGTCGACATCGCTGGCATAGCCAGGGTCATGTGGTGGGACCACAACTTCAAGGTCCACGTCGACAGTCACGTCACCGTTGATCCCGTCTTTCTCGACGTCATTGATCAGGAGAACACCTCCGAACTTGAAGTCTTCACCACCGCTGCAGCGTAAGCCTGTTAGGAGTGTAAACTCTGTAACTGTAATTGTTGTATTCTGCAATTGAATTAGATTTTTCAGTTTAGGTTTTGTTTATGCCTTTGAGATTCAACCAATTATTCCCTTTCTCATTTTCTGCGGACGCATTATTTTCTATGCTTCTAAAGCAAGCTTATAATCTATTTTGAAACCAATGATTGTGGAAAGTTGCTTATAGCAGGCATTGTTATCAAGAAATGTGATGCTCAGTTATGATATTACAGCATCCTTATCCTATGTTCATTGGAAATTTTATTGTCTTGAATGATTTCGTTGTGGCTTTGATTAATATAATACATCCATATGTTGTGATGGTACACTCAATTACTGTAGATAGAAAGTCATCCACATAGGAATAATTATGCCAATTTAACCCATTGTTTGAGTTCCCGTTTCACCCATTACCAATTGTCAAAAAAAGCATGTTGTTCCTTTCTCCTTACGGTCCTTATCTAGAATTACATTTCATTGACTCATACAATACATGATGGACCATTTTCTGGCACTCGCAAATAGTAATCAAGTTACATATCAATGGTAGTATTTTATCGGACCGTACATAGGTTCAGTAATAGACTAATTAACTCAATAACTTGATGAATGTATTTCTTCATGATTGTTTAATGAGTAGCCAAGTATATCCATATCAATGAATCTACAGTACATCCTTCATGCCACGATTTTTTAATTTACGCTGAATATATTATCATACGCAAGATTGAAATTTCCAAATAAAGAGATAGTGGATTTTTCTTTTTATGATGTGTTCTCCCTCTGCTTGCAGGTTTTGAAACTAGGTGATTGTGGCTTGCAGGTTTTGAAACTAGGTGATTGTGGTTGGAAAGGCGACTCGTAACAGCGAACGACATGGTCCAACCAGCTTTCTAACAGTGTTCTATATCCCATTAAGTTTCCTCTCGGGTTATTGTTTATCCATAGTAGCTTATTGTACTTCAAAAGTAATATTATTATCTTTAGATGAATTCTTCCATAAGTCTTTATTTGCATGAGAGAAAATAAGAAAAATAAATTAACTTACACATAAGTAAAAATAGAAATTTAGGAAAGTTATATAAAAGACCTCTACAAATTAACTTTTGAACAAGTTCATTTTATCTTACAAATTCCTCTTATTTTTTCTCTCCTGGAAGGAGGTTATTAACCAAACTAGTCGAAATAGCCTTAAATGGGGTTGGACATATGCATTGACTGCCTTTTTAGAATTCTTTTTTGTGTGTAATGGGTTTTAAATGGGAAACCAAGTCAGTCATAGATCATTGAACAGACCCGATCAGAAATAAATGCAGAGTAATGCTTTGATGACCCATGGAAGTACTTCATTACATATTAGACTGAAATCATGAGAATAAGAGAGTAAAATTCAAGGGCATACCTCGAGCGCAAGCTTCTCTTGCCATCATCAATAACAATAATTGATGATGGCTTATTGATGATGGCAAGAGAAGCTTGCGCTCGAGGTATGCCCTTGAATTTTACTCTCTTATTCTCATGATTTCAGTACAATATGTAATGAAGTACTTGAAAGTTGAAAGTACTTAATCCATGGGTCATCAAAGCATTGCTCTGCATTTATTTTCTGATCGGGTCTGTTCAATGATCTATGACGGACTTGGTTTCCCATTTAAAACCATTACACACAAAAAGGAACTCTAAAAAGGCAGTCAATGCATATGCCCATCCCAT